CCTCCATTTTGCCAAATCGAGCAGAAACTTGCGTACGCCTTGTCTGGGGTTGCCGTGAGAATGTGCGTGGCGGTACGCCAAGTTTAGTTTTTATACATCTCGACGTGAGCGTGTAAACGGGCGTGCGCAACATTTTTGTGCGTAAGCACCGTTTATACATGAGGCCCCTGGATGCAAATAACATTCTGAGGGATAGCCAACATTGATTAAGGAGAGGTAGATTCTGTTTAGCGAATTTACTTGAGTTCTTTGAGGAAGCTACAAGAGCAATTGATCACAAAAAGGCCTATGATGTGATCTACTTAGATTTCCTGAAGGCCTTTGATGTTGTCCCCCACAAATGGCTCTTGCTTAAGAAAGCTGCAGGGATTTTAGGAACTATAGCAGCTTGAATCGAAAACTGGTTAACTGACAGGAAACAGCAAGTAGTTATTAGAGGCACAATGTCACAGTGGGCCTGCATTCATAGTGGGGTACCACAGGGTTCAATTTTAGGACCACAATTGTTTCTAATTTACATTAATGATATTGACACCCATACATACAGTAAACTGGTTAAATTTGCAGACGACACCAAAGTGGGTGGTGTAGCAGATACTGATCTAGCAGCAGAGAGGCTACAATGGGATCTGGATTTAATTAGTGACTGGGCTGATACCTGGTAGATGAAATTTAACATAGATAAATGCAAGGTAATCCATGCAGGGAGCAGAAATATAAAGTACAGATATTTTATGGGTTCCACTGAAATAAAGGTAGCTGATTACGAGAAAGATCTTGATGTGTATGTTGATGCTTGATTGTGTATAGGTTTGGTCACCATACCTTAAGAAGGACATTGCTGCCTTAGAAAAGGTGCAACGGAGGGCTACAAGAATGATTCCTGGTCTTAGCGGAATGTCTTATGAGGAGAGGTTAGCTAAGCTGAATCTATTTAGCCTCGAACAAGGGGGGTTAAGGGGGGACATGATCCAGGTATATAAGATTCTAACAGGTCTGGATGCTGTTCTGCCAAATAGCTATTTCAATATTAGTTTAAATACTATAACTCGTGGCCATAGGTGGAAATTAGCAGGATAACATTTTAAAATAAATTTGAGGAAGCACTCCTCAAAAGCTGACGCACTCTCTCAGCAATTTGATCCACCCAATGCTGACTCTCAGACTAAGACAGTGCTTCCACCTAACTGCTTCGCCGCGCCCATCACCTGGTCGCTGGAAGAAGTGCTCCGCCTCGCCCACCTGGCGGTCGACTTCATCATTGACCTTCCCAACTCAAAAGGTAACACTGTTGTGCTAACCAGCATTTGTGCTAAATTAAACATTTTGCTCAGCTTATCACCCCCAGTCCAACGGATTAGCTGAAAGGACCAACCAGGAAGTGTCTAAAGCCCTCTGACTCCTTTGCAAAGATAAACCAGCCAAATGGGCAATACACCCGGTCTGGGCAGAGTATGTGCTGAACGCTCATGTGAACCAAGCAACTCACATGTCCCCGTTTCAATGTGTTTTGGGATATTTTCCACCACTCTTCCCATGGGATGCAGAGGCCAGCGAGGTACCCCAGGTGGAGGAGTGTACTGTGGAGCCAACAGAGTTTGGCAACAAACTCGACGAGCCCACTCAGATCAGACCTCCAAGCAGAAAGCTCAGGCTGATAAACATCGGATGACGGCTACCCTGTACAGGGTGGGTCAACAGGTCTGGTTATCCACACGCAACCTTAAACTGCCCTCCTGTCGTAAGTTGTTGGCGCAGTTCATTGGACCCTTCCGAATTGTGCAGAAGGTTGGACCTGACTCCTACCGGCTGGCACTGCCTAGGGTGTACTGCATCTGCCCCACTTTTCACTCTTCTCTCCTCAAACCTATCCGATATAGCCCAGCTCACCCGCCGAAGGCAGTGGTGGTTCCACCACCCCCCACCGTGCGGGACGGCTCCCGGATCTATCAGGTTTGGGCTCTCCTGGACTCCCATTGAAGAGCTGGGGTATTGCAATACCTGGTGGACTGGGAGGGCTTCGGCCCTGAGGAGAGGTCGTGGGTGCCGAAAGCAGATGTCCTGGATCCTGTGATGGTAGCAGAA